TGGGGCTGCAAACATGAAAGGCGTGGGGATATGAGCGGTACTTATTTCTGAAACAGGGCAGCACTACCCTGTTACGGCTCAGCTTCATTTTTATTGTACCAACAACATGGCTAAGTACAAGGCATGCATTCTGGGTTTGAGGTTAGCAGTGGATATGGGTGTCCAGGAAGTCTTGGTCTTGGGTGACTCGGTCTTTCTGGTGCACCAGATTCAGGGAGAATGGGAAACACGGGATCTGAAACTCATACCGTACAGACAATGTTTGCATGATCTTTGTCAACGGTTCCAGTCAATAGAATTCAGGCATATCCCAAGGATCCATAATGAAGTTGTCGATGCTTTGGCTACTCTGGCGTCAATGTTACATCATCTAGATAAGGCTTATGTGGACCCTTTGCAGATTCAGGTCCGTGATCAGCATACTTACTGTAATATGGTGGAAGAAGAACTTGATGGGGAGCCATGGTTCCATGATATTAAAGAATACATCAGGATGGGGGTATATCCAGTAAAGGCCACAGGTGATCAGAAAAGAACAATTTGACGATTGACAAGTGGATTTTTCTTCAGTGGAGGGGTATTGTACAAAAGAACTCCAGATCTGGGATTGCTAAGATGCATAGATGCTAGATAGGCCACAACTATCATGACTGAGGTACACTCCGGGGTTTGTGGACCGCACATGAGTGGGTATGTGCTGGCAAAGAAGATTCTCCGGGCAGGTTATTATTGGCTCACTATGGAGCGAGATTGTATTAGTTTCGTGCAAAAATGTCATCAGTGCCAAGTGCATGGAGATTTGATTCATTCTCTAACATCTGAATTACATATAATGTCTGCACCATGGCTTTTTGTTGCTTGGGGAATGGATGTCATTGGACCAATCGAGCTAGTAGCATCCAGTGGGCACAGGTTTATTCTGGTGGCCATCGATTATTTCACCAAGTGGGTAGAGGCTAAAACATTCAAGGCTGTAACCAAGAAGGTGGTGGTTGATTTTGTGCATTCAAATATCATTTGCCGGTTTGGGATACCGAAGGTGATCATTACAGACAATGGGGCTAATCTCAATAGTTATCTGATGAAAGAGGTATGTTAGCAGTTTAGGATTACACATCGCAATTCTACCCCGTATCGCCCTAAGGCGAATGGAGTAGTTGAGGCAGCCAACAAGAATATAAAGAAGATACTTCGAAAAATGGTGGAAGATTCTAGGTAGTGGCATAAGAAGTTGCCGTTTGCATTGCTCGGTTATCGCACTACTGTCCGTACTTCAGTAGGGGCGACTCCTTATTTGTTGTTGTATGGCACCGAAGCAGTGACACCCGCAGAAGTGGAAATTCCATCCCTTCGAATTGTCGCAGAGGCTGAGATCGATGATGATGAATGGGTCAAAACCCGTCTGGAGCAATTAATTTTGATCGATAAAAAGAGACTGGCAGCAGTGTGTCATGGCCAGTTGTATCAATAGAGAATGGCAAGAGCATACAATAAGAAGGTGCGTCCACAGAAGTTTGAAGTGGGTCAGTTAGTATTGAAACACATTCTTCCTCATCAAGTTGAAGCAAAAGGAAAGTTCGCCCCAAATTGGCAGGGGCCATTTGTTGTAACTAGAGTGTTGTCCAATGGAGCGTTATATTTGACAGATGTAGAAGGGAAATGTATGGAGATGGCTATCAATTTCGATGCAGTCAAGAGATACTATGTATGATTTCTTTGTTTGATTGTACTTGTTTGTATTTGGCATGTCACGAATATTGGAATGACGAAGGCATTTTGTTCTGCTATCTAAACACTTTATCCCTTGTCACCCCTCTTGAGCCTTATTTATTTTCTTTCATACCCCTCTTTTGGAATCAATAGCAAATATCAGGAACACAAGTGTGAAAGATAAGTAAAGGAAAAGGAGAAAAGAAAAGAACAAAAAGGGAGAGAAGAAAATTAAAAATCAAAAAAGAAGAAGAAGAAGGAAAGAAAAGAAAAGGAAAAAAAGAAAGAGAAAGAAAAGAATGAAAAGAAAAAAAAAGAAAGAAGAAAAACAACAAAAAGAGAAAAAGAAAGCAAAAAAAAAANGAAAGAGAAAGAAAAGAATGAAAAGAAAAAAAAAGAAAGAAGAAAAACAACAAAAAGAGAAAAAGAAAGCTAAAAAGAGAAATAAAAGAAAGAGAAAAAGAAAATCACAACAACAAAGTAATCTCTATGACATGAACTACGTTTGACCTAATTCCTTTTAAGGATACGTAGGCAGCCTCACGGTTCGGTCTCATCAAAATAAAATCCAAAAGTCCCCAAGAAAGAAACTGGGGCAGAAGTTGTGGTTGTTGTAAGAAATCTGATTCCGAAAGTTGTAATTTTGAACCCATTCGAATGGTTTTGAGCCTTTTATACCCTTTCTTGCTAATCCCATCCAAAAGCCACATTACGGTCCAAATAAGGACCTTCCGATCAGTCTTTGAGAAATGCCAAGTCGAGCAGGTAGAGGTGATTCATATCAAGGGTAACACTTTGGTCCAAATAGGGAAAGAATAAAAAATGAGATAGTCTTATTGGTGAAAACCCTCACGGGCACCATAAGGCGACGGGAGTTGAGAGGAATCAAAAATGAGAGAGTCTTATTGGTGAAAACCCTCACAGTCACCGTAAGGCGAAAGCGAGTTGAGAGATGAACGAATGAAAGAGGTCTGCTGGTGAAAACATTTCAAGGCACCGCAGGATGAACAAGGTCAGGATTTTGGTGAAGAAATCAGGTTATGGAAATTCCTGGGCAACAAAGTATGGCAATTGAAAGTTGATTGGTTGGGAGGATTGGGCCGATTAATCCAAATTTCATGTCATGATCATCGGTGCCAGCTGCTCCACTCAGATAAGTCTCTTCTCTTTTCCTTTTCAAATAGTCTCCCAGTTTTAGATAATGGGAGTAGTTTAAAGACCCTCTTAGTTAACAAGATTTAGCAAAAGTCACACCTTTAGAAGATATAACTTAGATTTAAAATTTTCATTTAATTAAGAGTTGTCAGGACCCCCCTGGATAATGGGACCTAGATTTCAAATTCTTAGTAATACTTGGTAATATGATTTAGTTTTACATCACATCTGTACCCAGCCACCAAACTGGGGCAGAAAATCTTCTTTATTTTTCGTCTATTTTGTTGAAGTTAGGAGCCCACATGAAGAGCAGGGAATACATTTTAAATCAGCAGTCAGGCGCCCGCCTGGAGAGTAGGGAATACATTTCAAGTCAGCAGTCAGGAGACCGCCTGAAGAGCAGGGACTACATTTCAAGTCAGCAATCAGGAGCCCGCCTGAAGAACAAGGGAGTACAATTCAAAGTTTTACCTTTCAAGTTCTTATTGATATTTGGTAATGTGATCCGTCTTGGGGAAGAAAATTTCTTTGTTTTATCTATTTCGTTGAAGTCAGGAGCCCACCTGGAGAGCAGGGAATACAGTCAAGTTTAGCAGTCCGGAGCCCGCTTGGAAAACAAGGGAGTACAATTCAAGTTTTAGCTTTCAAATTCTTTGCTTTGTTTATTTTGAAGTCAGGAGCCTTCCTGGAGAGCAGGGAATACATTCAAGTTTAGCAATCAGGAGCCCACCTGGAGAGCAGGGAATACATTTCAAGTTGGAAGTGAGAAGCCCACCTGGAGAACAAGGGAATACATTTTCAAGTTCAGCAATCAGGAGCCGACCTAGAGAACAAGGGAATACATTTCAAGTTCAGCAATCAGGAGCCCACCTGGAGAACAAGGGAATACATTTTCAAGTTCAGCAATCAGGAGCCGACCTAGAGAACAAGGGAATACATTTCAAGTTCAGCAATCAGGAGCCCACCTGGAGAACAAGGGAATACATTCAAGTTTCAGCAAGCGGGTGTCCACCTGGAGAAAGGGAAGCATCTCAGATTACAATTCAAGGCGGAAAAAAGGGGATACCACCAGGAGAATACCAGTCAACAAGGCAACAAGAACCACAAGAGCAAGTTTGAAGATATAGATAGGATTTTGTAATGCATAGATCATAGTCTAGTCTAGCTTCTTTTCATTTTGTCATGATGTAATAAGGGGGTTCAGTAAGCAGCAACAACAACAGTGAAAGCACATCTTCATGGTAGTCCCAGCTACCAAAACTTCTTGAACTACACTGACCTGATTCCTTTTTAGCCAAGGATATGTAGGCAACCTCGGAAGCAGGGTGCGGTCAACTCTTTCAAAAATGCTCCCCACAGAGTATTCACACGGGCAAAAATCGCTCGTATCCGCTCACTTATCTTTGCACGAAAACTCTTCGTGTTTCCGAGCAAAGAGGGGCAACTGTGAGCATATGATTTTTGCCCTATATGAATCACTCCCATAAATTCAAAATAAAATAATTTCTTTCAGTATTTGCAATTTTGTGGATTTTTGCTAATTGTTCGCATTTGTCTGTGCATGTTTATTTAACTAACAGAAAAAAATAATACAAAAATACTTGGCATTTGAATTTAGGGTTTAATTTTACATTTTAGGATTAATTAGAAAATTAATTGTATTATAAAATGGAAAAATCACAAAAAATAGTTTAATTTGCACTTTTAATTTTAGCTTTTTTTTAATTTGTTTTTAATTAATTGTGTTAATTATTATTTTAGGTTTAATTAGTTTTTTTAGTTCTAGGAATTAATCTTGATTTTAATTAAATTTTGAAAAAAAAGAGAAAAAGAAAAAAGGAATTTTGAATTGAATTGTTTGAAATAGAAAAGAAAAGAAAAGAGTGAAGAGATTTGGGCCAAATTCATTTTAAAACCCCCAGGCCCAAATGTTAAACCCCTGAACCCGGTCAAAACGCCCTGACCCAGCCCAAACCCTACTCCCAACCCGGTCCATCTCCACACCCCACCAAACGGCCCCGTTTTGTCTAAGTCCTGATCTGGGCCGTTGATTTCCCTTCATCCGACGGTCGAGAACTGGGGTGGAAATAATATATAACTGTCCAAACGACCCCCCCACCCCCTCATCTCTCTTCAAACCCCAGAGACCGCCTGTCCCCGCCCTGAGCCACCGTCTGCCATCGCTGGAAATCGCCTACGGCGGCGGCGAGACTCCAAACCACCCCAAATTTACATCGTAGCTTCCTCTTCGCCTCCACATCCCCAATCCTTAACCATCTTCCGTCAAATATACTCAAAATCCCTCGAATTTGAGTTTGAAGTCGCGAACCCTATCGCCGCCCTCATTCCCTCCGGCGGCGGCCGGCCACCAAACGACCCTAGATTGACACCACAGACCCACCATGACACCCTTTCTCCAAATACCCAACTCATTACCCTCGAATCTCCTCGGAACTGCTCGAATCTCGGATCGAAGTGTCTCAGAGTCAATCCTGTTCGAAGTTTTGCGCCCAAATCGATCTTATTCGTGTATTTTTGATAAAAAGCACATGATTAATTTCGATTTGGGCCAGGAATCAAAGAGTCGGAGGCTCAGGGGTATTTTCCGGATTTCTTCACCAAAGTTCAGGGTACTAATCCCAGCTTCTTCTTCTTGCTGTTTTTTCCTTTATTGTCTGTTCATTCAAATTTATTTTGTCTCTTTATTTTTGTTCTTTGTCCTGCTTTGCATATTATTGCTTATCTCTTCTGTTTTATGTGGCATCTATTAAGCTAGTGATAGAGTTAGTGCTAGTTTTCTTATTAATTAAAGTCAATTAGCTTTAGGTGTTAATGGATTTCTCCTTAGTTTAATTTTAAGTCCATTTTCTCTTTTGTTCAGTCCCTCATATTGTGGACCTTGATTTGTTTGAATCAATTCTTAGAAGTCAGTAGGCCCAGTAATGAAGTCATTTGGGTCTATTCAGACCCGTTGAGTTGGGTCATTTGGGCCCAGATCCTTGTTTGGTAGCTTAGGTAAATAACTAGGGGTCGAGGGGTAGTTTGGATAGTCTAAGTTAGAGAATATTTTCATAACTGAAATATGAATGTTCTAGCAGGTATTTCTAACCAATTTCAGGCTTTTGGTTAGTTAACTTGGGTAGAAAGTCCATAGCTAGAGGATATCTAGGCAAAAAGGAAAAATGTAAGAGGGCTAAAGTGCAAAATCAGAACCAAATATCTGCCCTACTTTGCTTGCCTATAAAGGCACATTAACTTGCCTTTCAAGAGAGGGGGGAGGAGCTGAAAACCCCAAAAAAACCCTGCAGAATTCTACTGTTCTATTGAAGTTTTTTTTCTGAAATGCTTGAAGGTTTTGATTTCTGAAACAGCTGAAAACACAAAAAATATTCTACTGTTCCATTACTTTTTCTGCTAGTTTCTGAATCTTTTGATTCTGAAACAATTGTTGGGTATATCTAAAGTTTAGAAGATGGATTGAAGTTGGTTTTAAGGCCTGATTTTATAGTTTCTGGGTTATATTCGAGTGAACATGTTCTAGATAATTGGTTAAGCCTTGTTTCTGTTTTTTTTAAAATCGATTCGCTGAATTGTTTCCCTACTGCTGATCTTTGTTCGTGGCTACTGATAACCCTTAACCTCTATTCCTCATTTCCAGGTATTTTTCAGCTCTATGGGTGTCACTTGAAGTGTAAATTGAAGCAGAAATTGGAAAACATGAAATGGAAATGTGATTGTTTGTTTGGATTCTATTTTGTTCTTCTTTCAATTTTATGACTAGATTATAATAGATTGGCATAAGTTGTTCCTGTGACTGTAATACAGTGCTTGAAATCAGTGTTGGGATCATTGTTTTGTGTGTTGTATCTTCAAGTGTCCCTTCGAATTTTAGTCTGTATTGGTTAATAAATCAGTTGTATGTTTTCTTTTGGTTTGTGTGAGTTAGTCTTATGGCTTGGTAGGGACTCTATCATTTTAAATTGTCAGTTTGGTAACCGGACGTTTGAATAGATTATATTAAGCATGTGATAAAAGTTGAAGTCGTGTAGTCTTGTTTCCTTCTGTGATATAGTTTATGTTCGAGAATAGTTAATGGTGAAAAGGTGTATCCAATTTGAAGATTGTTAATGGTTTCCGGTTGATTTAGGATCAAGCATGTGTAGTTATGATTTGGTATGAAATTCTGAATAAAAAATCAGATTTGTAGCCTAGTCTGCTTGATTAAGGATCTATCGTCTGTTTTTTTTAGTTGGCTTTAAAATGGTTTCTCAAAGATTAAGAGTTTGAATACAAATGTTTGAATGCCTGAATCACCTTGTGTTTCTATTAAATTAATCCACTCTCAACTATGGCACAGATGCATATATAAACGGGTCCATAAGTCTGAATTGTTCCCTTGAGGGCTCGATCCTGGAGCACAGCGGTTGGATACCCGTTACAGCTTGTTTGCATGTTCGAGTTGGGATCATTACGAGGCCCAGTTCCAAATCCTGCATGTCCCTTCATCGGGCCACTATTCCATTCGTATCAGCCCATAACCCTTTATATAAATGGATTGTTTTCGTTCATTTCCTCGTATAAGCCATGCTAGTTAGTTTCAAAAGAGCCTTTAACCATGTAGTATTAATTAATTAGATTATTAACCAGTCGGGGCGTGCCATATTAGACAACAAAAACAATTTATGGCCCTCGTGATTTAATGTAGAAACCTGTTGGCTAAGAATAATTCGAGGAGCGCCATGCCAAACAAAATGACAATTGCATGGCCCTCGGTTGAATTAATCTTGTATTGGTCCCTTAATTAATTTTGTTATTCTTAGAACTTGAGGCGTGCCATTTAGTAAATTTTATGGCCCTCACAAAGTTGCAAACACGAAATTGTTGTAGGCGCGTTAGTTTAATAATATTACTTTCTTAAACTCGGGTGTGCATTTCATGTGACCCAAATCAAATCTTAAAACATTAAATAAAATATGTTTAGGATTGCGGGTGCATTTCATGTGGCGCGATCCAAATACGTGTTTTAAATGACGTTCAAATCTTCTTTAAAATTGAATAGAAGCGGTTATAAAAGTCAAAATTGCACCATAGGTTAAAACATGCATTAAAATCGGATAATTAAACCAAATAGTAACAGTTGAGCGACCGTGCTAGAACCACGAAACTCGAAAATGCCTAACACCTTCTCCCGGGTTAACAGAATTCCTTACCCGGATTTCTAGTTCACGGACTGTAATACATAGTCAACCTTTTCCTCGACTCGGGATTTGAAATGGTGACTTGGGACACCATAAATTATCCCAAGTGGTGACTCTGAATCTTTAATTGCAATAATCCCTTTTCGATTGTCCTTTAATTGGAAAAACTTCCTTATACTACACCCTTCCGGGGGTGTAGGTAAAAAGGAGGTGTGACAGTAGTCACCACCAGAATGAAATAAGTCAACTTGGTCAACCTGTCCACAATCACCCATACCGCGTCAAATTTCTTCTGAGTATGTTGGAGCCCAATAACAAAGTCTATGGTAACACACTCCTATATCCACTAGGGAATCTCAAGTCTGTAAAGTAAACTGTCCGGTCGCTGATGCTCATACTTCCCCTGCTAAATATTTAGGCACCGGGCTACATACTCCACTATGTCTTTCTCCATTCTACTTCACCAATAGTACTGCCTTAAATCCTAATACATCTTAGTGTTACCCGGATGAATGGAGTACTGCAAACTGTGGGCCTCCTGAAGAATCAACTCACGCAACCCATCTACATTGGGAACACATAACCGGCCCTGCATATGCAACACACCATCATCTCCGATAGAAACCTCCTTGGCATTGTCGTGCTAAATCATGTCCTTAAGGACAAGCAAATGGGGTTCACCATATTGACGCTCTCTGATGCGGTCATATAGAGAGGACCGAGAAACTACGCAATCCAGAACTTGATTGGGCTTCGAAACATCCAATCTAACAAATTGGTTGGCCAAGGCTTGAACATCCAATGCTAATGGCCTCTCCGTTGCCGGTAGATATGCTAAACTCCCTAAGATCTCTTCCTTTCGACTCAAGGCATCGGCCACCGAATTGGCCTTCCCAAGATTATATAGAATGATGATATCATAGGCCTTAAGAAACTCTAACTACCTCCATTACTTCAAGTTAAGATCTTTCTATTTGAACAAATGATGTCTTTCTATTTGAACAAATGATGTAGACTCCGGTGGTTGGTAAAGACCTCACAAGGGACACCTTACAAATAATGCTGCCAGATCTTCACTGCATGAACAATAGCTGCCAATTCCAAGTCATGGACCGAATAATTCTTCTCATGGGTCTTCAACTACCTAGACATGTAAGCAATCACCATACCGTCCTGCATCAACATTGCACCAAGTCCAACGTGGCATCACAATACACGGTATATGACCCTAAACCTGTAGGTAACACCAACACTGGGACTGTAGTCAAGGTAGTCTTGAGCTTTTGAAAGCTCGCCTCACACTCCTCAGACCATCTGAAAGGAGTACCCTTCTGGGTCAATCTGGTCATAGATGTAACATTAGATGAGAAACCCTATACAAAACGGCTATAATACCCAGCCAAACAAAGGAAACTCCCAATCTCTGTAGCCGAGATGGTCTGGCCAACTCTATGCTGCTTCAATCTTCTTCATACTACCTTGATCCCCTCACTCGACACTACATGACCCATAAACTCCACTGAATCAAGCTAGAAATCACACATTGAGAATTTTGCATACAACTTCTTTTCTTTCAAGGTCTGAAGCACGATCCTCAGGTGTTGCTCATGATCTTCCCGGCTGCGGGAGTACAACAAGATGTTGTCAATAAACACAACAACAAATTAATAAACATAAGGATAAAATATACTTCTCATTAGGTGCATAAATATTGATGGGGCATTGGTTATCCCAAATGACATCACAAGGAACTTGTAGTGACCATACCAAGTCCTAAAGGCAGTGTTTAGAATATCCAGATCCCGAATCTTTAGCTGATGATAACCTGGCCACAGATCAATCTTTGAGAACACCCTGGCACCCTGTAGCTGATCAAACAAGTCATCAATCTGTGGCAATGGAAACGTGTTCTTCACTGTAACCTTGTTCAACTGTCAATAATCAATATACATGCACATAGAACCATCATTCTTCTTCACAAACAAGACCGGAGCACCCCAAGGCGACATACTAGGCCGAATGAAGCCCTTATCAAGCAACTCTTGCAATTGCTCCTTTATCTCATTCAGCTCCGATGAGGCCATATAATGTGGTGGAATAGAAATGGGCTGAGTGTCTGGAAACAAATCAATATCAAAATCAATATCCCTATCGGGCGGTATGCCCGGAAGATCTGTTAGAAATACATCTGGGAAGTCTCTTGCTACCAGAATTGATAAGCATCACACCCCGTCTCAATCATCGGTTGAGCCTTTAGAAATGATACAACCCTGCTAGGAACATAATCCAACATGCCCCTCAACTCTAACCATGGCAAACCTAGCATAGCCAATGTCATAGTCTTGGCGTGACAATCCAGAATAACATGATAGGGCGACAACCAATCTATGCCTAAGATAACATCAAAGTCTACCATAGTAAGTAATAATAGATCAACTCTGGTCTCAAAACAACATAACAACTAAACATGACCGATACATACGGTCCACAATAATAAAATCTCCCACAAGCATGGACACATAAACATGAGAGCTCAAATAATGACGAGATATATCCAAATACTGAGCAAAGTAAGATGACACATATGAATAAGTGGATCCCGTATCAAATAAGACTGATGCATCTTCATGGAAAATCGGAACCATACCTGTAATGACTGCGTCAGAAGCAACTGCCTCTATCCTACCCGAAAAAGCATAGAATCTGGCCTGACCTCCCCCTCTTGGGCGACCTCTGCCCTTCCATCCCCCTCCCTTAGCTGGTTGTACGGGTAGAGCTGCAGCTAGGGTAGCAATCATGGCTTGAGAAATCTGTGGACCTGACTGAATCCGTAGAGCCTGAGTAGTCTGTGGAGGTGCACCCTGCCTAAATCTGGGGCAGTCGTTTACCATACGACAAGTATCACCACACCCAAAGCAAGCTCTCGGTAGGCGTGACTGCTGGGACTCACTCGGGCCTGGTCAGTTGGATCGACTGCTGAAAGCACCCCATACAAGAGGTGCACTAGAAAGTGGCTGAGAAAACTGTGCAACTTGACACCTCGAAATAACAGGAGCAACACCACAAGCTGAAAGTTCTGAGCGAAGTAGACGACTCATATATCATCTACCATGACGGGTTGTAATTGTAGCATGACCACCACTAAATCCCAAAGTACCTCGAGGACTCTTTTCCTCCTCGTCCTCTCTCTTACGGCCCCGCATACCCTCCAACCTCCGTGCAATCTCTACCACCTACTGATATGAGGTATCTGTCTCCAACTCTCGAGCCATGCTGAATCTAATACCATAGTTGAGTCCCTTGATAAATCGATAGACTCACTCTCTGACTGTAGAAACTAAGGCAGGTGCATGTCTGGAAAAATCACTGAATCGAACAACATACTTTGACACTGTCATAGTCCCCTAGCGCAACTGCTCAAACTCCACGCACCATGCATCCCTAAGGGTCAGAGGAACAAAATATCTAAAGAGCAACTCTGAAAATCGAGTCCGTGTAAGTGAAGCTGCATCGGATGGTCTACCCTCCTCGTAACTCGCCACCACTGATATGATGCTCCTGACAGTTGGAATGTAGCAAAAGAAAATCCACTCGTCTCCACAATACCCATGGTGTGGATAATACAGTGGCACTCTTAGAAAAAACCATGTGCATCCTATGAAGCCATACCACTGAAAGTAAGAGGGTGGTACTTATTGAACCTCTCAAGTCTAAGCTACTCCTCCTTAGATGTTGCTGCCTTAACCATGGGTTGGACTGGAACAACAGGTTGTACTGGTATAACCTCTATGACCTGGTCCACATGGACATACTGCTATAGAGTACGAGCTGCAGGG